ATGGCCCGCGACATGTTGCCCTTTCGAGAGGAAGTCATAAACGAATGTGTCCTTCGGTGGAATGCCAGAGGACTTAGGGCGCGTATGTCCGAGTTCCGGCAATATGTATTCACGAACCAGTTCTCCATAATTGTGATTTGTGAACCGAACCTGTCAGTTCACATGAGACTGTCTGGATATGAGTGTTTTTTGTCTTCTACTCACAGAGAGCGCAGTGAGGTTGTTGTGTTCATACGGCGCGACTTAACTTATGCTCATCACCCTGTACCCTCTGACAAATAAAACCAGTACGTTTGCCTAACAGTAAAAACAAGAAGACCACATTCACAATCATCGGAGCCTACTTACCTCCATCAAGTCGTCCAGACCATGAGCGCTTGCGCAGAGTTTTGAATTCAACTCTCCAGTGATAACTGGCGACTTCAATGTCCACCACTACTTACGGGGAAGCTCCAGGGTCAACACTAGAGGTAGACAGTTAATGTGTTTCGCTTCTGAATGTGAACGTATCCTCGTGAATGACGGCAGCCCTACGTATCTGCGCGGATCGGCCTGTAGCAGTTGCCTGGACCTCACTTTCGTGTCACGCTCGTTTGCCAGCAGAGTGCACTGGTTTTCGGATTTGGAAACAAGGGGTAGTGACCACATTCCAACATACCTGAAGATTGACGGCTTTCCAAGTCTCATGTCCTCCAGAGCCGTCCAGTGCACAGATTGGCAAAAATACAACCTTATCATGGAAGACTATGTTGGCGGCTCACCCTTCAACCTAGAGGACGCAATGAAGAGTGCTCTACAGTCCACCACGCGTTCGCTTCCGGTGAGCTCATCTCGCAGTGATATGGACATTGATCTCGAGAAACTCTGAGTGATTCGTCGTCGTGCAGAACGACGTTATAGACGCACGGAGTCACTTGATGATCTGAGAGTGGCCAGACGCACACAAAACAAATACAGCGTCACATGGACAACTTGGATAAACAACGATGGGTATCTTTTTGCGAGTCTTTGGATCTCAGGAAGCCTCTGTCACGAATCTGGAAAACTGTGCGGGGTTTTCTTACAACCATTACTGAGCGCTACCTATTAAATTCTCTGGCACTTCACTTACGCTGCGAAGAGATTGATGTCGCTGAATCTTTCTGTCGAAGGATTGCCTGCGGGGCAAATTCAACTGGAACGAAGACGCTCGACTTTTCTGTACCCTCACGTGATCACCGATCAGAGTGTTTGTTTTCAATGGACAAACTAAAGACTGAATTTGCTTTGTGTAGACGTTCTTCAGCGCCAAGATCTGACGGCATCAGTTACCGCGCTCTGTGTCACCTAGGCGATCAAGCTCGGAAAGCCCTCTTGCTGCTGTACAACGACTCCTGGCAAACTAGCATGATTCCACAGGAATGGAAGTGAAGTCGCGTGATTCCACTTCCAAAGCCAGCAAATCGCCTTTGGACATTTCCTCTTATCACTCGATTGCCCTCACGAGCTGTGTGGAAAAAGTTATGGAAAGAATGATTTCAACGCGTCTGGAATGGTACTTAGAGTTTTACGAAATATATCCAGATGCCATGTCCGGGTTCAGACGAAGCCACTCATCAGTTGACAATGTAGTTGACTTGGTAACATATGTAGAGCACCAGAAGGCCTGCAAACGGTTATCTGATGCTTCGTCTCTTGACGTTAGAGGAGCATACGACAATGCCACCCATGAAGCCATTTTCAGCGAATTAGAAGGAGTGGGACTCGGTGGCAGGATATATACGTGGGTTCAGAGCTACCTACAGAATAGATCATTTCATGTGCAGACAGAGAATGGCCCGACACCCGAGCATTACTGCAGCCGAGGAGTCCCGCAAGGCGGAGTGCTAAGCCCGACGCTGTTCAACCTAACACTCATTGGACTAGTTGGCAAGCAACTAAGCAGTGTACGACTTTCTATTTATGCTGATGACATCTGTGTGTGGACATCAGGTGTGACTCGACTTAAACTTCGCGCTCGACTTCCGAAGGCAGCATCAGTGACATCGCACCACCTACGCAAACAAGGGCTCGAAATCAAAAGTGGAAAATGTGCAGTCGGGGCTTTCACCAGAAAATCAATGTCCGCTTACGGCATATCAATCAGCGGGCAGGTGGTGTCATGGAGCCGGAGTCACAGGTTCTTGGGAGTCGTAATCGACCGAAACCTACCTGTCTTGGACCCCACACGTAAACTACGTGAAAAAGCGGCTAACCGCCATTTGTCACTTGTTCAGGTTTCTTGCCGGGAAAAGTTGAAGAATGTCGGTCGAGTTTATGTTACAGCTGTACAAGGTATTATTTATTGGATTCCTGTGGTACAGCCTACCTGTTATATCTAACACGTGCAAAGCGAACCTGCACACAATCCAAAATATTCGAGCCCAGGCGCTTAGGATATGCCTTGGTTTACCCCGCTGCGCCTCGACAGCTGAAACACGCCATTGCACAGAACTACTCGATCATGACTCACAACAACATTGAAACGATGCGTACGTACCTCAGGCAACATGCAAAAAATCCTTCCCACCACTTGGCAACCCTCGCTACTGAGAGGCCCCGCACGAAATTCAGTGCAATTGTCTGTGCACATCATGCGTCGTTTACGTCAGGTTTTACGCCTGCTGAGAAACAGGTGTATCTTCCGGGGTGCCTGACACTTCCGCAAGTAGGCCTTTCAATTCCAGGATTATAGAAAAAATCAAATTTGCCCTCATGACCCGTAAAATAATTGAGCTTGCACCTCCTGCAAGAATTGTACAATAACCACGTGCACATATACACTGATGGTTCAAACACAGCGTCTGGTTCTGGCAGTGCGGTGGTGATTCCAGCTAGAGAAATTGCTCTGCGCATCAAGATATCACACGTCACTACGTCTACGGCGGCAGAACTTGCGGCTTCACGTGGCGCCCTAGAGTACATCAAATCCCAGAGACCGAGTAAATGGGCTGTGTTTTCCGACTCGAAAACGGCCCTACAGAGCTTGCAGTCAGTCCTTCGACGAGGTTGCCATGAACAGTTAACTTACGAGGTTGTCAAGCTTCTTCACCACGTCAGAGAAACAGGCCACGAGGTCAAGTTTCAGTGGCTACCTGGCCATTGTGGTATCCGTGACAATGATTGCGCAGACAACGTGGCTCGCACATTGCAGCAAGAAGAGCACAACCTTCTGATTCCTTTATCAAGGACTGACGCTGCAAAGCAACACGTTAAAGAACCCCAGGTGGTCTAAATTTCCGGAGTCCTCCACTACGGCGTCTCTCATAATCATATGGTGGTTTTGGGACGTTAAACCCCACAAATCAATCAATCGACGCTGCAAAGCAACTTCGTCACCTGGCACGTAGTCTGTGTCTGCTGGAGTGGAACACCCAAGGCATAAGACATACCAGACCCTACCAAATAAACCCTTGACTGGAAGTTTGACCTCCATGCGGACTTCATAGACGTGAGGCTTCGCTTCTTTGTCGCCTTTATCTGGGGGTTGCCTTCACAAAAGCATATACAACCCTCATTTGATTCACCGACAATACGTAATGCGACGTCTGCTGCAGAAAAGACATCGACCATCTGATTTTGCCTCTGAAAGACAGAAGCTTTCGGACGCATTGCGACAATTGGACGATCGGCCACTCTCCATGCGAATGCTACTGGAACACCGTTCTCGCCTTTCGGCGGCTCAAAAAGCAGTCAAGGCGGTCTTGTGCTTTTTGAGGACTACAGGCCTAAGTGACCACCTATAACTTTAGTGTAGTGCCACCACTGCATACGCGTCAGCCCATTGACTGACAATCCTTTTTTTTCTCTCTTTCTCTTCTCTTTCCTCTCTCTCTCATCTTTATGCCCCCTTCCCGTTCCCCCAGCATAGGGTAGCAAACCGGACATGTGCCTGGTTAACCTCCCTGCCTTATCTCCTGTTGTTCATCTCTCCCACCCCCCTCTAGTACATCGTAACATGGGTAAGTCAGAAAGAAACTGTTCATAGCTTTACATTCATGGCTACAATTGATCCACAGCATTTTTTTCAGTTACTAGTGCTTGTTTGTTAGGAAAAATGCTCTAGTGTGTGACCTTCTGCTTTAAAGTTCCAGACCATTTATTTATGCAGCAAGGCCAGCGACATGCGTCATAAATGCATCTTGTTAAGATATATACAATACTTCGTTTTGTGTGTCATAAATAGATTTACTTATACCCACTTGCTCATTGTACTATGACACCAATACGCAATATACCCCAAAATATCAAATATATTATCTAAGACACTTATGCACCATTTATACTGCCCTGCCCTAACAGCGGACTATATCAAGGTTCCCATTGAACGTATTTCTCGTACATGAACATTTCCTTCCTCAGTAGCCTGTATACTGCAAACTCTTTATTTTATGCAAATGATGGAAATGATCAGATGGCATATAAGTGCCTGGATTCACTGGTCTTTGAAATTAGCAATGTTGAGATAAATATTAATATATACCATGCATACAAAAAGTACTCATTGTCATCCAAAGTTAACGTTCATCTTTTTCAAGTATGCAAATGGAATACTTCAAGATTTACCATTATTTCTTTAAGTAAAAATTTTAATTTGGCGTTTCTGACAGTGCTGCACATGTGTTTTGTCTGCAAAAGAATATAAATAAATATGCATAGAAACTCTCGCTTGCCGTAACATTTTATACACTCGCCACCACCAACAAAAAAATCATCACATTTTGCCATACGTGCACCAGACCACAAACACCACTTTTTAACAAGATGTACTTTTCCGCAACTTTGAAACTGCTTTTCTTAACTCGATTGCAGCATTTTGCTGTCACTAACAGCGACCATTGTTGGCAATACAGAGGCAATGACGGTGGGCTCAACGCTTTTGGTTTTGTAATCTTTGCAGCTTCCTTCCCGTAATCTCCCCGCGAGAAGCCTGAATGACCTAAGGGTCACGAGAGATCAGTGCAATAACTGAAGCCTCTTACGCCGACCGGGGTAGGCATCCACCAGTGTTGGCTCATCAATCGGGAGGGCGCTTCGGTCAACGAAGACCACGTACTGCACGTTGCTGCCTTCGGCGACTGTCAGGGGCTTGGGTGATGTCCGGAACATCAGTGGTGGCGCCTGCCATTGTGCCGACTCAAGGCTTGTTTCCTGCTGCCCGGGGCCCGGTACCGGGTCAAGCGTACGGATTATGTAGATGGGGCCTGGCCTAACACGCGCCGCCCTGCCCACCACGGGGCTCCGGCCGAGCCAACCACGCTCAGTAGAGTAGCGTGGTGGCAGCCGCCGACGCGGCGCGTCGCGTTCGAATTGGTAGGGTGAATCGCCTTCGAGGCGCAAAGCTTCGCTCCTTTCATATGGCTTCTCGTCGTCCAGATACGCCGCCAGCGCGGTTCCAGTTGCAAGAAGGGCAATCACTGCTCGAAACTGCGGGGAAAGCAAAAGTACAGAAACAATAACTAATTGGTCAAACAACACAAGCTTTCTATGTAGCTGCTCTGGCGCACTACCTGAAACGAAGAGTAAAATGCGGAAGGCATGCTAAGGCGCGAGTGCCGTCTTCTCCGCACTTGGGCTGCGAAGACATTTCTATGCATCCTTTCCACGACAAATTGACCACAGGCTGTCCATAAATCAAGCACCTTAAAATAACAGACAGCGTCGCAAATACAACATAGTCATAGGAGGTAGAAACATGCCTGATGCGGCAATCCTTACCCTTGCAGTCAAGTCAAATATTCCTCTCTCTATATTTCTCTTACAAACACCGAAACACTATATATATATATATATATATATATATATATATATTCCGACATGGGGAAGAAATTAATTATGTTAATTTCCCCTCCGTGATTTGTATGTAGACGCCCCGGAAACATTAAAGATGACCTTGTTGTGAGATCGAAAACCGTTGAGACGCCTATAACTGGACGTCAGCCATGCGGCAGGGGTCACTGCAAGGTGCGGAAACACAAGTATGCTACCAACGTGACTGAATTCACACATCGCAATTTCACATACTCTATTCACTCAAGCCTTGACTGCAACAGCTCTAATGCACCTTCCTTTCTAATGCACCTACCTAATGCAACAGCTCTAATGCACCTACCTTGTCGAGCGCGAAGTATGCATTGTTGAATGTACAGATCAGATTGACACGGCCTTCAGAACCCACCTAATTAACAAATATTCAAATGTTCCTTCCAATACGTATCTGCTGTGTCTTGGCATATAATTTCAGAAAACGACCTGTTTCATGCAATCAAAGTTACGCTCTTACAAAGTGGTTGCTCTAGTGCAATCGAGGAAGCGTGAACAGCGCGAGCCACATATGATATAAATGTTTATTACCATGTAGGCTGGACTAAATTGTAATCCGGGCATACTTTTTTCTCTTCCCGCTATGAAATATGCAAAGTAAGTAGGATCTCAGCAAAATTTATCTCTCTCTCTCTCTCTCTTCGTTGCTTTTGTTTTCCTCCTCGGATATCGTCAAGTGCACGCTTTGAGTAAGCAAAATCTGTACCTGCGTTCGCAGGAAGGAAGCACCTTTCAAATAATCCTCCCTATAAAAAAATCACTGCTCTGGCACTCGTAGAGGGGCTAAAAGATTTTCCCTCGTGGCAAACATTTGAACGAAGCGCATTCTTCGTTCTCTGCGGCAACTTATCTTGAGCCACAGGTCGGAGATAGTAGCTCTCTGTTGTTCAAGCAAAGTATCTGTCCTCTACACTTTTCGAGACTTGTACTGAGCTTTTAGACTGCTGACCTCTTTTAATGCCTTATCACTTTATGTGAAGCTTCCTCCCTTTGCTCTGCTTCTGAAGTTAATGAGGTGTGGAGAGTCGAATAGGTGACACGTGACAACGCAGGGAGCATCTGTGCATACTACATAATTCTTGCTGCCCCGCCGCAGTGGTCTAGTGGCTAAGGTACTTGGCTGCTGACCCGCAGGTCGCGGGTTCAAATCCCGGCTGTGGCAGCTGCATTTACGATGGAGGCGGAAATATTGTAGGACCGTGTGCTCAGATTTGGGTGCATGTTAAAGAACCTCAGGTGGTCGAAATCTCTGGAGCCCTCCCCTACGGCGTCTCTCATAATCATATGGTGGTTTTGGGACGTTAAACAGCACATATCAATCAATCAAGCAATCAGCTGTACGATGTTACGAAGTTGTCTTGGTCAAGTTTCATGGGTTTCACTACTATGGTTAAAAATTTTTATTGACTGTTTACAGTGAAAGCTTTCATGAGATCAAAACTCCTGTCACACGCAGCGTCGTAGTTGTCCGCTGGTGCTCGTAACTACTATCACAGAAATAGGAAAAAGAAATTAGTAGTTATAAAGACCCAGTGGGGCTTGAACCCTGTTCTGCTGCGTTCCAGCCCAATATTCAACCACTGAGCCATGCGCATGCATAGGACTTAGTGGCAAACTTGCCTTAGGCGGGCTTGATGTCGGGAAAGGAATCGCGGTACGATGGGTAATAAAGCATTTTAGAGCATCAAGAAAACAACCAGTGATCACACAGTGCGAATAGCATAACGAGTGGGTTGTCGGATGCTTTAACCCACTAAAAAACGCTTATTTTTGAACATTCATTAACTTTGGCGCATACTCACTTCAGGCATATTTCCTTATTGTCGTCAGCCACTGGAGGAACTATTGGCACAAAATTCCTTGCAAGTGTTTAGCGGATACCACACTTTCAGAAAAATGAAGAAGAATAGCACAGCTATTGCCGGCTTACAAACAAGAAAATAGCATTATTAATTACATAATGGGTACTTCGCAAGTGTTCTTGCAGCAGTTACCCAATAAGTGTTTACATAAGGCTCTGAAAGACCGCTCTTCTAGCTTTCGCTGTGACAGTGCTGCGCCTTCCGCGCAGGTCTGGCGTTTTTATGCGCCATCATTGTTAAGATGTTTTCGTCACACACAAAAATAAACTAACATGTGGACTTCCGAAAGCCTTTCATATAAATGGGTGCACAAATAAACTCATAAGCCAACATATGGTGGTTCTGACATATCAGAAATAGAGTTGTTTTTATTCTCTTTAGCCTTATCATTTTATGTTCGCTTGCCAAATGACTTGCGAATACGCATTTTCTATATACTTATAAATGGTTTTCCGCAGCGGCAAACGGGCGATGCCACGCTTGAACACGTGACCTAATGTTCCTCTTATTTTCACTTCACCGTCGCCGACGGCCGGCTGATTTGTCGCTGTCGCTCCCGAGTTAAATGCAAGCAAAGTGGCCGCAGCGGTTATAGGGTTATCCCCCGTATTCTAGAACCTCCCTTCACTCAAAGCTACACCTTCACTTGAAAAAGCCGATGGGAGCGCCATCTCTAGTCACGGCAAGTCGCTGCATATCAGCGATAGTCTGCTGCGATTCTTCAGTAGCGCATTGTCATTTTCAGCCGAGTGCTGGCGCAGTGCTCAACTCTGTCGAGTGAATGGTGAAAGTCGAGTAGAGGAGCGTTTGTGAATACGGAGGTAAGTGTTGACGTGGTAGACAGTGCGGTGAGCACCGGTGTTTCACATACTCTCATGCACATCGTCGCCCGGCAGCGCACCGGGGTCGGCAAACTGCCGATAAAACATATTTTCTTCCAACACGCCCGCGCTCGCATAGTCCATGCCGCTTGTTTCTCGCCATAGGCTGCAGGGCATCGTTCGCCACACGCCATATCGTAGCCACGCTGCTGAGGCGAAGGCTGAGGTGCTTGGATGTAGTGACGCCATATAGTTTTGCTGAGAGAAACTAGCTGTGGAAAATTGTCTTTAGCTTTCCTTTCCAAAATAAATTAGTTGAGAGTTAGCGCTCGTCTGTCTGTTTCTTGGTCTGTGTTTTTTGCGTGCTAGAGCAAGTTATAATATGCATAACTACCAACTCACCCAGCTTTCAGTTTTACTGTTAAGATAAGCTTGTATATGTTTGTATCTTCGGGGTGCTTCCTGATTTCAGTCAACCATTCCACTCTTCGGCCAATAAACAAGTATCTCAATTAACGAGACTGCAAAAACAAAACTGCCGACATTACTGAATGATTTGTTTCACGCACTTAATGCTCATGATAAATTAAAGAAATCCTAGCATCGTATTCACACGGTTGAAACTATTCAAGTTAAAATGCTCCACCGACCACCAAGAGATAAAATATTTTCTTCACCACATTACAGCTTCACACAACTTGTTTTGGCGAGTGACAGAGGGCCGTTTATAGCATAGGAGGTGCGTTTCTGCCCATTTCCTCTATGTAACCTGCTCATGACGTCTTTCAAGACACCAAGGGTGCGATATGTATCACACTACATGAAGCAATGCAGCTGCTGTTTTTTTTTTATTTGGCAGAGAGCGGCATCCCGGCCGCTGATGGGGTGATGATGGTGATGATGATCAAAATTTATTACTACCAAAAGAGAGGAAGAACCCAGACATCGGCTACGCTGCTTATAGAAGGTCAGCGGGGATCCTTTGAGACACCGCAACATCCAATGCGCGTGCAGAGATGGTGTGTATTGTCGCGACATTTATCCATGAGAAACGAACCCGACATCTGCCGACACAAGCGGGTTGGTGCCGCGCAGAATGATGAGGCATGCATGCTTCCTTGCTTGCTGACCCTTTACAGGTGGTTCGTACCCTTTTGCGGGGGATGGGCCAGTTAAACCGACGATTAATACGAGAGTAGAGAACGACGAATAATACGAGAGAATTGGTTAGATGAAACTAAATGAATTAGTAAGTCTTCTAAGGATGGTGTAACTATAAAATTGTAATATGCAATACTCTAAAATTTGTGATACGTCCAAAACGTTTGTTTTGGTTAGAAATAGAATAACATGTGAATATTTTTGTGTCTCTAAGAAAGTGGTGATTGTAATGCAGAAGACTCTGGTGCTGTGGCCCAGAGAAAAAGGCGAAAAGAAAAATCACAGAATTGGGTGTTTTTCATAATTTTTGGAACAAACTTTCGATATGTTTTTGCACTCGATGCTCGCAAATTGGGCTGAGGCTGCTTCTTCGTCTTCTCTGTGATATAACTCAATGTTTTACAAATTTGTACTCATATTCCCCTGATTTGCCATAATTGTATTCTATTTCAATGTACAACGCGACGCCCAATATGAAATCAACCTCGCGTCGTTACATTTACCAAAACAACTCCAGCCACACGCTTCCACGCCATTCTCCTCACTGGCTATACTCCTCCAGACAGCCCTGTTGGTAGGCCCCGTACACAGTGCGATGCATATATATATATATATATATATATATATATATATATATATATATATATATATATATATATATATATATATATATATATATATATATATATATATTGTAAGGTAATGAAGCGAGAAATACACTACAACACTACACCCGTTCTTAGGGCCAGCTGTTCTTTAT